CACACACACACACACACACACACACACACACACACACACACACACACACACACACACACACACCTTCCTCATTTCCCTTTCTCGAATTAAGAGCCTATTCAGACTTCTTCAGTATCACTATACAAGAACGGAAGAATAAAGATTCACCTTAGGTAATACATAAATAAGGATCTAGTAGCACAAGTTAAAATTTGTAGTTTAAAGCAAAAAATTTAGAAAGAGCTCCCATTTTACATTTTCTTCTTCTAAACTTGGGTGCTTCCCAGCCTACCTGTGGTTCAGGTCTACAGGATTTAAACAGATTGTTATATGATAATAAAGAACTTCGGACATTGCTGATGATTATTTTGTTTCTACTGTGATGTAGCTGAATTACTTTAATTTGACTTCCTTTCCTAGGGAATTAGAACTTCTTTTTAAAAATCATTAAGCCCTCTAATTTGCTGAGGATCACTTACTAGATTGAGGTATAACTTTTACTTTGTAGAGAGCCTGAAGATCTCCGCTTTGGAACTAATGAAAGGGTGAGAAGGGGCTTTTTAAAAGATTTCTGTTTGGAGGCATGAGTGAAGATTTTTCTTAAGGAATGGACTAGCTCGTTAATTTTGGCTTAGTGAACTTCATTAATTTCAATTGATTCTTTGTTCAGACTTCACCAAGGAAGTCTTATTAGTCCAATGAAGTATTATAATACAAATTTTTAATGTTTTTCACCACATTCGAGAATTATATTTGTATATTACTTATGTATACTATAATATAATCTATCTGATCAGTGCTTATGAACATTGTTTTAAATATGTATTATAATATATTGCCTATTTTCTTTCTTTTTGTAAATGATGCCATTTAGTTTTTGTAGGACAGCCATTTGCAGTACTTAAAAACAAACAAACAAACAAACAAAACAAAACACCAATGTGTTCCTGGAAAGTATTCTTGGCCTTAGTTATAGTAGAAATTATAAAAGTTCAATCCTTATAACAAAAAAACATGACATCCTAAGTAAAGCCTTATTGTTGTCCAGAATGATAATGCTTTTCATAAACAATAGGAAATGGCAAGATTTGCTCATGGCATTCATTTCCATTTTACTTTCCAAATGACTTTTTAAGTCATTTGCATTAAGTTTAATCTCTGAGCTTCTTCTCTACCTGTGAAGACAGAAATCATTTTTATCACACCCCCTTACCACCATCACCAAGTAATATCTCTTCATCCAAGCCATACGGTTTGTATTTCAGTTGCTGTCAGTTACCACAAGCAGTTTAAAACTATAGGTTCCTTTTGTTATCCGAGCAAAATGTTAATACTTCTAAGTAGGGTATAGACAGTGGGAAGACCCAGAAAGACGAGGAAGCCAGATCAGCAAGCCTCATAATTTGAGACTGTCACTTTTAAAACCAGCCATGGATTTTTCTAGTTCTTTGCTGAACTCATTGCTTACTTCTATGAACTCTTTCTTCCCCCAATCCTCTTTTTTTTTTCTTTCTGATTAGTTTGCTTATTTATTCTTTTCTTAGTTTCCACATATAAGTGAGATCATATGGTATTTGTCTTTCTCCAACTGACTTATTTCACTTAGCATAATGTTCTCTAGGTCCATCCATATCGTTGCAAATGGTACGATTTCCTTCTTTATAGCTGAGTAATACTCCATTGTGTAAATGTACCACAGTTTCTTAATCTAATCATCTATCGATGGGCATTTCCGTTGTTTCCATGTCTTGGCTATTGTGAATAGCGCTGCAATAAACATAGGGGTGCATATATTTTTTCGAATTAGTATTTTGGATTTCTCTGGATTGATACCTAAGAGTGGAATTGCTGGGTCATAAGGTAGTTCCATTTCCAATCCTCTTTCTTTTCAATAAGTTCCATTGTCTGATTTTGGAAGTATGGGAGTGTTTGCAACAATTTGCTAAATAACTTGATCTGACTGATCTTATGAAGGTATATTAATTTTCTTCTTTCTTGTTGGCAGGGGGCTTGTACAAGACAGCCGGAATAACCTCCAATTGAGGGGCTTGGTGGTGCTACTTATTTCTAAAGCAGCCGGGCCCAGCAGCGTCAATGCTTCTTGTCAGAATTATGACATGGTCAGTGGGATCTATTCATGGTAAGAAATGACGTTTTTGACATTGCTTTCTAAAAACTTGTATTTTCTTTTATTGAACAATGGTAGTAGAAATCACTGTTTAGTTCTTTGTCATTTTCTGATTCAAAGATAGATTAAAATATTTTGTAAGGTTTAAAAATATGGAGGTTTATTGTTCTTAACAAATCTGATAGTTTTGGCTGCTCCATGCATAAATCTGGTAAATTTACCCATACATTTGTGTCGAATACTTTCCTTTCTACCCTGGGCATTTAAAATTTTCTCTTCATTACTACCCTTCTTCCTAGCTCTGTAGAGACCTCTGTGTCACTTAGTCCAGGATTTTTTATGTTTAAACCTACTCAAAATGATAGCTAGTTGTAAAGTAGTGATGTAACTACCATTTTAGCAGAAATAGTCTACTGCAATGCTATATCATTTATTTTATTTTGCTTGTTTTTATAGTGAAGAGGTTTTTACTGAAGTGACTGGAATAGGAAGTTTTTATACCTCATACATTTAGATTTAAAAAATAAATTTACATTATAT